CTCGTTTATCACTCCCCTCCTCTCGTCTCTCTCTGCGTTGGTCATTTCGTGTTCTGCATTGTCACGCCTCTTTCCTTTTAATTCTTCATGCTCTTCTTTCCTCTCTCTTCTTTTCTCATCTCTCTTTTCTCTTCTCTCCTCTCCCTCGTCCTCCGCCTTAGCTCTTGTCGCCTTCCCCTTTCCTCATTCTATCCACTTTTTTTCTCCATTTCCCCCCTTCCTCCCCTCCACCTCCCTCGTTACTCTAGTTTCAAAGTTGTAATTTACCGCGGGGTCGCCAAACAAGTTTTTTTTTTTTTTTTCCTTCTTTGCTTCAGTTCTTTTATGTCAAGGCAAATGTCGCTTCAGTTTCTCTCCTCTTCCTTTCTCTCATCATCCTTCTTTCTCCTACTTTCTCCTCCTTTCTCGTCCTTGTTCTTGCTCTCTCGTCGTCGCCCTCCTCCCTCCCTCCCTCCTCCTCCCTCCTCCTCCTCCTCCTCCTCCTCCTCCCTCCCCCTCCTCTCCCCTCCAACTCCCCCCTCCCCCTCCCCCTCTCTCCTATTCTTCCATCATCATCGCTTTCTCTTCCAGCTTCTCTTACTACCACCGACTTTGTGTCCCACCCTATTAAAGTCCATGGAGAGAGAGAGGGGGGGGGGGAGAAGGGACAATATCCCATTGGTTTTGTGCTGGAGGGGGAGGGAGGGGAGGGAGGGAGGGAGGAGAGGAAAGCTGGTTCTAGGTGTGGGGGTAGTTAGTGGGAGGGGGGAGGGGTTTGAACATGATGGGGAAGGGGGGGGGGAAGCTGATTGTGGCGGAGATGAAGAGGGGGAGGGGGTAAGGGAAGGGGGGGGAGGAGATTGGTTGATGCATTGATTGGACAGGAAACTTTCAGGATTTTCCCCCCCCTTTCTGTTTTTTGTTTGCTGTCGTGTGTTTGTTTGTTTGTTTGCCGTTTTGTGAGGGTGTTATGTTTAACATCTCAGCGGCGGTCGGTCTGTTATTGGGATTGTGAGCGGGGGGAAGGGAGGGGGGGGGGGCTCGTTCAGGTGGTAACACCCCTGGAAAGGATAAGGGAAGGAGAGGAAGAAACAAGATGAAGGTAAGGGAGAGAGAGAGACAAAAGAGACAGAAAGGGGGAAGGGAACGGAGGGAGGATTGATAGCGGAGGAGATGTAGGATGTAGAGCGAGGAGTATTGAGGATATTTTCGCGGAAGCGGGACAAGGATGGATTATCTGCCGGACAGGAGGAGGAGGAGGAGGAAGAGGGGGAGGCTGGCGTGCGGGGAGGGCGGCCTCGGGTCCCTCCTGTGCGCGCGCTCGGTCTGCTGTTAACGTGATACTCGTTCGTTCTCGTATTCGCTTTCCTCTCCTCTCCTCTCTCCTCTCTCCTCTCCTCTCCATTCCTCCCTCTCTCCTCTCCTCTCCTCTCCATTCCTCCCTCCTCTCCTCTCCTCTCCTCTCCTGTCCATTTCTCTCTCTCTCTCTCTCTCCATTCTCTCTCTCTCTCTCTCTCTCTCTCCATTTCTCTCTCTCTCATTCTCCATTTCTCTCTCTCTCATTCTCCATTTCTCTCTCTCTCTCTCTCTCTCTCTCTCTCTCTCTCTCTCCTCTCTCTCTCTCTCTCTCTCTCTCTCTCTCTCTCCATTCTCTCTCTCTCTCTCTCTCTCTCCATTTCTCTCTCTCTCTCTCTCTCTCTCTCTCTCTCCATTTCTCTCTCTCTCTCTCTCTCTCTCTCATTCTCTCTCTCATCTCTCTCTCTCTCTCTCTCTCTCTCTCTCTCTCTCTCTCCATTCTCTCTCTCTCTCTCTCTCTCTCTCCATTCTCTCTCTCTCTCTCTCCTTCTCTCTCTCTCTCTCTCTCATTCTCCATTTCTCTCTCCATTTCTCTCTCTCATTCTCCATTTCTCTCTCCATTTCTCTCTCTCATTCTCCATTTCTCTCTCTCTCTCTCTCTCTCTCTCTCTCTCTCTCTCTCTCTCTCTCTCTCTCTCTCTCTCTCTCTCTCTCTCTCTCTCTCTCCATTTCTCTCTCTCTCTCCATTTCTCTCTCTCTCTCTCTCTCTCTCTCTCTCTCTCTCTCTCTCTCTCTCTCTCTCTCTCTCTCTCTCTCTCTCTCTCTCCATTTCTCTCTCTCTCTCTCTCTCTCCATTTCTCTCTCTCTCTCTCTCTCTCTCTCTCTCTCTCTCTCTCTCTCTCTCTCTCTCTCTCTCTCCATTTCTCTCCATTTCTCTCTCTCTCTCTCTCTCTCTCCATTTCTCTCCATTCTCTCTCTCTCTCTCTCTCTCTCTCCATTCCCCCCTCTCTCCCCCTCCCCATCCCCAGCCATTTATGAAATGATACGACGTAATATTAGCAAGGTGGACCTGTACGTTTAGTAGATGATGAATCCCAGCAGGTGTTCCGAGATCGCTGATGAGATTTATTGGCTTGTTTGTCGAGTGACGATTTTCTTTTTTTTTCACGTTTTAGTTGCTCGGAAGGAAAGGGTCCAGATTCGTTCCACTCGATTCTGCGTGGATTGGTTCTTATTGGCTTGTCTTCTGTCCATCCACTCTTTCCTCCCGGATTACCGTCGTTATTCCTCCCTTCTTTCCATCTCTCCCTCCCGTCCCCTCTTTCTTGCCTTCGTTCACCGTTGGGCGAGGACTCGACTTCCCCGAGCGAGCTAGCGAACGAACGAGCGTGCGTGCGAGACCACAAAAATCTCTTAATTAGCGGTAAGAATCGGCGGCGAGCATCATATTGGTCTGCGGGCGGAGTGCAGGCGGACGACGCTGCTCTGGCGCTGCGCCACCCGACTCCGGTCCAGCGAGGCCCGCGCCGTAAGGCCCTCCTCTTCGCGCTTGGTCGTGGGGAGCGTCGACCTTACGTGCGCTTTGGGGATGGCACGTTTCTGCTTCGGCACACCCGAGGAGAAGGAAATTACAGTTCCGATGGCGGCGGGAGGAAGTAGCCCGTAAGGGGAATGGGGAAGAGGGAGGGACGTGGGGAGGCTGGGGAGGAAGTAGGCCTGAGGGACGGATTGGGGAAGAGAGAGGAAGTAGGCCGAAAGAGGGCTGAGGAGAGAAGAGGGAAGGGGAGGAAGTAACTAGTAAGAAGTATTGGGGAAGAGGGAGTTGGAGGAGGCCTAAAAAAAAAGAAAAAAGCTGGGGGATAAGGAACAGAGGACTGAACAGGGGGGGGGGGATTGTTCTGCGGTCTATGAACTAGGGATTAGGACGACTAGAGCTGAAGACTACTACTGGGGACTCGCGACCAGTGAGTAATAACTTCTGAGCCCCGAGCAGACATAACGCCCGACCCAGTAGGCTTGAGGGGACTACACTCGCTGAGCTTAATTACCGTGGGCGTTGGCGAGCCTCCTCTGGCATTGGGATGTGAGGGGCGTCTCGGGGCCCGGGGAAGGGGGGAGGGAGGAGGGAGGAAGGTCATGTCGAGTCGTGTCAGTTAGGTGTGCGCGGTGGGGCTCTGGCGGCGATTCGTGTCCGGGGCGCGTCCGGTGGCACTTTTTTCTTGTGTGTGTATATATTATATTATATATTATATTTTATATTTTATATTATATATTATATATTATATATTATATTATTATATTATATTATATTATTATATTACACACACTTACACTCACACTCACACTTCGTGTATGTATATATATCTTTGCGTGCCCCTTTGGTGGCCGAAAGGCGTTGGATGGCAGGTGTGGCGTCGCAGGGCGGAATGCAGCCCACGTGCGAGCCAGGTACGCGGGCGTGGGCAGAGCGGCACGGCACAAAGCTCAGATAATGCACCCACGGCGTCTGCGGCAGTGCCAGCGGTGCGTCACGGTGGCGAGCCGCGAGGAGGAGGAGGAGATGCTTGGCCCACGCCCAGACCTGACTCAGCCCAGGCACGCCCGCGCTCAGGCCTATGCAGGGCAAGCAGAGAAGGGCTCAAGGTAGGCTTCGTGGCCTGAAGTCCGGCCCGCGGCCTCTGCCCATGCTCAGTCCTGTTTCCTTGCGTCGCCCAGGGCGTCAGGTTAGGGGCGGTTGTTCCCATCGCCTTGATTTAGATTTAGGCCTGCGCCGCCGTCGGGCGCGCGCCTGCGTGCTGCGGCAAGACTGGGCAGCAGAGGAAGAGTCTGCTTATCCTTGCTGCTGTTCGCGTTTGTTCTTTCTTCCCCGTCTCCGTCTCCGATTTATTTTAATCTCTTTCAAACTCCTCTCTTTGTCTTATGGTTCCCTGGATTAGCGAAGGAACTTTTGGGATTAAAGCGCCTGGTGTCTTTTCTTTCCATCTTAGTCATATTCTTATTTCCTCTTTTTCCCCTTAACTCTCCCTTCTTCCGTTTCCCTTTAGTCTTTCTCCTTCGTGGCGAGTTACGCGAGGAGTCGACCTTGCCACAAAGCCAATCCACGCCCCGCCTTGATAATGGCGGAGAAATTAATATTAGATGGAGGCTAGTGGTGTTAGGTTGTAAACTGGTGCGAGGGAGAGAGGAAGAGGAGAGGGGGGGGGGAGGGAGGGGGGGGAAAGAACGAATCCAGAGGAGAAAGTTTGTGAGCGCCTCTTGAGCTCTCTATTAGGCAAGTGCGAGACATGGGTTGTTTACCTCGGCCCAGGTTCTCGGGGGGGGGGGGGGGGTTGATGGTGCGAATTGCACATACTACTTTGTATATTTTAACGTGTATTTATGTATATCTTAATTTATTTTTAAGGCACATTACTCGGCAAGCGAACACTTGGTCGCCCTGTTATGAAAAGTCGCACCTGCAAAGTCATGTATTGCCAAATAAAACATTAATTCATTCGCTCCTGAGGATGCTGCTAACGGTTTTACCTTATAAACATTAGGATCATAGAAGTTGATTCGAGAGAGAATGGTGGCGCAAGCGGCATGGGGTGCGGGGACGCATTCTTTGAACTCGATAGCGTATCAAATATTCATTCACTATTGAACTGTACGGTGAACTCGGAGCTGTAATGCGGAGAACTTGTAAAGTCCGGTGGACTAATTTTCCCTTTTTTTCTCTTTCGCAGGAATGAAGGAACCCCAGAACAACGGCAGCGGGGGCGGCGGAGGATCCTCTCGCCCACCCCTCCTGCAGGAGCCTCGCGGTTTCGGCATGAACGCTGCACCCTTCAGTAAGTTTGTTTTTCTTTTGGGCCCCTTTTCCTTGCCCCCCTCTCCCCTTCTTCCCTCCCGCTCTTTCCCCCCTCCCCCTCTTCCCCCCCTCCCCCTCCTTTTTATGGCCTGGGTCCTCGTTCTCTTGTGTTCCTTGAGCTGAGAAGGGAAACTTTGGCGCTCCTTTGCAGAGGTTGCCAGGGCCTTCCTGCGAGGGTGGAGGCAGGGCACTGCTTTTGACAGAGGGGGCCGCGGGAAAGGTGGAGGGACGGGGAGGCGGCGGCGGGTATGTTGGGTTGGGGTTCAGGGCACAGTCAGTCCATGTAGCTCTTGTTGGTCTGATTAGAGGGAATTTCGGAACTTTTCATGCGTTCAACTTTTGTCGTTGACTGTACAAAGGGAAGTGGGATGGGATGGGTTTGGAGTGGCAGGCAGGACCAGCGGAAAAGAGCAGGAGCAGAAGCAGAAGCAGGAGAAACGGGATTGACAGGCGGGGCCCCGAGTGAGGTTGTGGGACAGAGGGCAGCCACCACCCTCGCGGTAATCCAATTGTCTGTGCTGCTCCACACACCCGTTTCAAGTGGAAAATCAATACCTTACTCTGCCACGCTTCAGGTGCTAGAGCCAGGGATGCCGGCCCCGGCGTCACCCTCCTGCTCCTGCTGCTGCTGTTGCTCCTGTTGCTGTCACGCTCGCTGCCTTTCCTCTGTCGTTTTGCCTCCTATCCTCACATCTCTCTTCTCGTCTCCCTTGCCAACTCTCTCTCTCTCTCTCTCTCTCTCTCTCTCTCTCTCTCTCTCTCTCTCTCTCTCTCTCTCTCTCTCTCTCTCTCTCTCTCTCTCTCTCTCTCTCTCTCTTTTTCTCCCACACTCTTTATCCTTCTCTTTCTCCCACACGCTCTCTCCTTCTCTTTCTCCTTTCTCTCCTCTTTCTCACTCTTCGTGACTCGAGGGGAGAAAAAGGCTTCCCCACCGCTACTTGGCTTCACTTTTTGTGGCTTTATCTATTCCTGCCTTTCTCTTAATCTGTCCTTTCTTTGCTTTGCTCATTCTTGCTCTCTCTCTTTCCCCTTTCCTCGCCCTCGGCCTTTCCTTTTCCCATTCTCCTAACCACTCTTCATTCTCCACTTCCCTTATTTCTCGCCCTTTCCTTTCTTTCACTCTTTCTCAATAAAATGAGAACGCAGCTACCGCAATGGAGGCTGAGGGGCAGTGGGTTCTTTATAGTGGTTTCATAGCGAGAGGGAGAAGGGAGAAGGGAAGGGAGAGGGAGAGTAGAGGTGGCGAGGAAGACAATAGCGAGGTGTGTGCGAGGGCAACCGCTACATGGTCTAGGACCACCACCTTCTGGTGACCGGCTGTTGTCTAGTCCTTTTATTTTATTGGGGGAGGATTAAGGGAGGTTATTTCTCTGTATATATACATATATATGTTTAATCATACATACATACACACACATTTATCTATTGTATGTATGTATAGATAGATAGATATAAATAAGTGTATATTTTGTTTTCCCCTTGGGTTTATTTTTTTCTCATTTCTCTTTCTCTTCACCCCCCCCCCTTTCCTCATTTCCCCGTTCTCCCCTCGTTTCACCTCTTCCCTTCCCTCTCTGCCTTCTCCCATCTCCCCTACCCCATCCCTCATTTACCTTTCCCCTTTTTCCTCCCCTCTGCCCCCGCCTGCATCATCCCGCGTAGCAGAATCAACACAGCCTGGGCGCATTGTGTTGTCTGAATACATCCCATTTAGTCGGCGAAAGTTTGAGGTCTAGCGCGATGTTTACTCAGCTCTCCGTTGACTTGGAAGCTCTGGGCTCCTTCCTCCCCTCTTTCCCCCCATCTCCCCCTTCTCCCTTCTTCCTCCTATGCCTCCCCCCTCATCCCCTTTCTTCCCTGATTCGGCCCTTTCTCTTCCCTTCCCTCCTCTCCTCCTCTCCTCTCCTCTCCTCTCCTCTCCTCTCCTCTCCGTTCCCCATTCTCTCCCTCCCTCCTTTCCATGTTTTCTTCCCCTTTTTCCTTTTAGTTAAATATTCATACACCGACACGAGTACCTGTGTCCTCCCCCTTCCTGTTTGTGTTTGTTTTAATCTTTCTCCATCTCTCCCCCTCCTCCGCCCCCTTCTTTTCTGCTCTCCACCTGCCGGGACGTAGCCGGTTCTTCCCCCCCCCCCCCCCCCTCTTTCTTTCTTTTTCTCCCTATCTCTTTTACTCCTATCTTCCCTGCCCTTCCTAGTTCTTCAGAAACTGTTTAGACCTTTCTCGCTTTTAAAACTCCTTTCCGGCGGCGAAAACCCGCGTAACTCCCTCTTCCCCCTTTCCCCGTCTCTGATTGTTTGCTCATTGTTCTAATGTTCCAATTTATTTTTTTTTTCCAGGAGGCGGCATGAACGGACAAATGGGCGGCCCACGCAACTCAGCCGGCGCCCTCTTCAACAGCCCCATGCCTGACAGGTGTGTGTCCGGAGAAGAGCTTGTTCCTTTTCGTTGTTGTTGTTTTATAAATGCAGATATTAATGTTCTATAAATGCAAATATTGATGTTCTATAAATGCAAATATTGATGTTTTATAAATGAACATTATTTTTTCTTTTTTTATAAATGCACATGTTTTATACGTGGTATTTCTTGTGGTTAATATCGGTGTTAATGCTGTGTATATTATATTGATGCCTGTCTGTGTGCGTGCGTGCATGAGTGCGTGCGTGCAATCACATTGCGTTGTGCACAAGAAAGCTGATGCGAGTGTAAGGCCTCTGGCGATGGCTTATGGGGGGCGAGGGGCAGGCTCTGCCTAACGAACGCTCCTAACTCAATTATTGACTTATCGCCTGGCCTCTTCGCACGTAGAGGCTGCCTCCCAGGAGTCGGGGCCCTCGCGCCCTCGCTGGATGATGGGAGGGGAATGACATGTGGGGGAAGGGGGGATAGGAAGCAGAGGGAAATGGAAGGGAAATAAAATAAATTGAATGGATAGGAGAGGATAGGTAGGAGTAATGAGGGAAGGGAATTCGAGAAAGAATGAATGAATGGCCGTAAGCTCAGTAGTGCTGATTGATGGACCCGAGTTGTCAGCGGATAGAAAGCGAATGATGATGGGGACGAGGAGGATGGCGGTGATAATGGCGGCAGTATTAATAGGTTTGAGTTTGTCAAGATAGATTTGTAGCGGCCGAACTAATGACTTGTGGTAAGAGTGACAGGGTAACGCAATTAAATTGATGGATCGATAAGAATGTCGAGCGCCAATTAGAAGCGGAAGACGGTGGGGGTTGGGGGGGGGTGCTCATTTCGGCCACGTGATGAAGCGACAGCGCCGTGCGGTTGGTCGGCGCTCGGGCTCTCGTCGTCGTCGGTGGCGGGGTTGGAGTCGGAGGCCGAGGGAGGCGTCCTGGCAGTGGGCGGCGCGGGAGAGGCCGGCCGTTTCGGCGGGGATCATGGGTGGCGTACTCTTCCATGCTCATTTGGGCTGCTCGGTGTTTATGATGACTATTTTGGGGGGTAGAAACCCAGTAGTAATTCGGATTTGACCTTATTTTTTGAACTAATCGTTTTCTACTCTCAGGTTCGGTATGAACAATGGAATCAGTAACGGCGGACTGCGCGGTGGCGGTCTCGTGGGCGGCGGTGGCGGCCCCGGCCAGGGCGGTCCCTTCATGGGCGGCGCTGGTGGACCTGGGGGTGCCTCCCTGCAGGCCATGGGACAGCCCCAGCCGGCTATTTATTTATTTATTTATTTATTTATTTATTTATTTATTTATTTATTTATTTATTTATTTATTTATTTATTTATTTATTTATTTATTTATTTATTTATTTATTTATTTATTTATTTATTTATTTATTTATTTATTTATTTATTTATTTATTTATTTATTTATTTATTTATTTATTTATTTATTTATTTATTTATTTATTTATTTATTTATTTATTTATTTATTTATTTATTTATTTATTTATTTATTTATTTATTTATTTATTTATTTATTTATTTATTTATTTATTTATTTATTTATTTATTTATTTATTTATTTATTTATTTATTTATTTATTTATTTATTTATTTATTTATTTATTTATTTATTTATTTATTTATTTATTTATTTATTTATTTATTTATTTATTTATTTATTTATTTATTTATTTATTTATTTATTTATTTATTTATTTATTTATTTATTTATTTATTTATTTATTTATTTATTTATTTATTTATTTATTTATTTATTTATTTATTTATTTATTTATTTATTTATTTATTTATTTATTTATTTATTTATTTATTTATTTATTTATTTATTTATTTATTTATTTATTTATTTATTTATTTATTTATTTATTTATTTATTTATTTATTTATTTATTTATTTATTTATTTATTTATTTATTTATTTATTTATTTATTTATTTATTTATTTATTTATTTATTTATTTATTTATTTATTTATTTATTTATTTATTTATTTATTTATTTATTTATTTATTTATTTATTTATTTATTTATTTATTTATTTATTTATTTATTTATTTATTTATTTATTTATTTATTTATTTATTTATTTATTTATTTATTTATTTATTTATTTATTTATTTATTTATTTATTTATTTATTTATTTATTTATTTATTTATTTATTTATTTATTTATTTATTTATTTATTTATTTATTTATTTATTTATTTATTTATTTATTTATTTATTTATTTATTTATTTATTTATTTATTTATTTATTTATTTATTTATTTATTTATTTATTTATTTATTTATTTATTTATTTATTTATTTATTTATTTATTTATTTATTTATTTATTTATTTATTTATTTATTTATTTATTTATTTATTTATTTATTTATTTATTTATTTATTTATTTATTTATTTATTTATTTATTTATTTATTTATTTATTTATTTATTTATTTATTTATTTATTTATTTATTTATTTATTTATTTATTTATTTATTTATTTATTTATTTATTTATTTATTTATTTATTTATTTATTTATTTATTTATTTATTTATTTATTTATTTATTTATTTATTTATTTATTTATTTATTTATTTATTTATTTATTTATTTATTTATTTATTTATTTATTTATTTATTTATTTATTTATTTATTTATTTATTTATTTATTTATTTATTTATTTATTTATTTATTTATTTATTTATTTATTTATTTATTTATTTATTTATTTATTTATTTATTTATTTATTTATTTATTTATTTATTTATTTATTTATTTATTTATTTATTTATTTATTTATTTATTTATTTATTTATTTATTTATTTATTTATTTATTTATTTATTTATTTATTTATTTATTTATTTATTTATTTATTTATTTATTTATTTATTTATTTATTTATTTATTTATTTATTTATTTATTTATTTATTTATTTATTTATTTATTTATTTATTTATTTATTTATTTATTTATTTATTTATTTATTTATTTATTTATTTATTTATTTATTTATTTATTTATTTATTTATTTATTTATTTATTTATTTATTTATTTATTTATTTATTTATTTATTTATTTATTTATTTATTTATTTATTTATTTATTTATTTATTTATTTATTTATTTATTTATTTATTTATTTATTTATTTATTTATTTATTTATTTATTTATTTATTTATTTATTTATTTATTTATTTATTTATTTATTTATTTATTTATTTATTTATTTATTTATTTATTTATTTATTTATTTATTTATTTATTTATTTATTTATTTATTTATTTATTTATTTATTTATTTATTTATTTATTTATTTATTTATTTATTTATTTATTTATTTATTTATTTATTTATTTATTTATTTATTTATTTATTTATTTATTTATTTATTTATTTATTTATTTATTTATTTATTTATTTATTTATTTATTTATTTATTTATTTATTTATTTATTTATTTATTTATTTATTTATTTATTTATTTATTTATTTATTTATTTATTTATTTATTTATTTATTTATTTATTTATTTATTTATTTATTTATTTATTTATTTATTTATTTATTTATTTATTTATTTATTTATTTATTTATTTATTTATTTATTTTTTTATTTATTTATTCATTTATTTATTTATTTATTTATTTATTTATTAATGCTCCAAATTCACTCTAATGGCAAAGGACATTCAAATAGTTTTGTACTCCTTCTGACACTTGTATACACTCGCACATGCATACATGCTCACAGGCACACACTCTCATGTGTAATTCCCCTTCCCCCTAGATGACTTCTGAAGTACTCGTATTTAAGACTCCCCCCCCACCTCCCCCCGCGAAGAATCCCGTATGTTGTAAGAGCAGGTGTTGCAACTCCCCAGGTGCCCGTTGACGTGGGCGGGTGGCAGGTGGGCGGGCGGCTATGCGATTGGCATTGTCCCGGCAACGTTTTGTTGTGTGAAAGTGAACACCGTAGCTTTCAATAATACGACCACTTCCTCTGTATAGGTCTTTTTCGGGTGGAGGATTTATTTGCATTCTTGCCTCGTTGGCAAATATGAAAAGTCACATTTGTGTGAATGTTTATTACGGCAATTGCCGGTCGTTGAAAGAAATAAAGAAGAAAAATTGTCGTGAGAATGGATTATTTCTTGAATTTTGTCTCTGTCTCACGAGGTAGCATTCCTCGGCGACACGCACATACGTCGAGGTGTCTATTGACCACGGGGTTAAAGGGACGAGTCCTTGCCAGTGCGGGCACGTCGAGATTGGGGGGGTGAGGACAGGAAGCCGGAGGGGGGGGGGTGTTAACGGTATCGCTTAATCCCTTTTGCATTATTCACATTAGGCATAACAATAATTGGAACAGCAGACGAGGCAGAAAGCGACATTAATAATTTTCGCTTTGAGAACGCGCGTGAATTATGGAATTTACCCCCTTTTTTTTTTCTTTTCTTTTTTAACCAAAATCATTACTTTCCTCTCGATATATAGCAAAGTTTCCTTGTTCCTTCCACAGATAAAGTTCCTGAAGACGAAGGAGGGATGCGCCATGGTCCAGATGGGTGACGCGCTGGCGGTTGAGCGCGCTGTGGCCAACCTCAACAACACGACATTCTTCAGCTGCAAGATGCAACTCGGGTGAGTAAAGTGGGGTGATGGCCGGGGGTGAAGTTGACAGCTCGCTCGTCGGCTTTTCATCTGTCGAGTCCGAGGCGATGAATTGGATTCAGCTGTGTCAACGCCGGCCAAAGAGGACTGGCTGCCGTGTAGTTTCTTTTTTTATTTGTTTATTTTGTATTTATTTATTTTATTTTTTATTTTATTTTTCATTTTATTTATTTATTTATTTATTTATTAATGCTTTTATTTTTGAAAGGAACTCCAAATTCACTCTAATGGCAAAGGACATTCAAATAGTTTTGTACTCCTTCTGACACTTGTATACACTCGCACATGCATACATGCTCACAGGCACACACACTCATGTGTTCATGCACTCAGAAAGATCCACAAACTATTTTCACTCAACTCTCTCCCTTTTATCATTTTATCTTTTTTCAAATCATGTCTTTGGTTGTCCAGTTTCATCTCTTGTTGCTGTGTTCTTTCCCCCCTACCAATTTTTCATCCTCTCTTCTGACCATCTCTTTGTATTGCAGTTTTTCAATATTAATTTCTGTTTTTTGTCTTTTCGTGTGTCTATCATCAGTCGGTCTAATGAGAAACGAGAATTGCAAGGGTGGGGGGGGGGAATTAAACGAGTGGTATTAATTCCACAAAGTGAATTACCATAATTGATCGTTGATGATTAACATTCTGACTGTATGATATTGCACCTACATCGGTATTACAAATCATAGTTGCTTAGTTCATCATTTTTTATTCTTTTTTTCTTTTTTCTTTTCTTTTTTTTTTTACAATTGTTCTCAAGGTAAACACAATGAAATGCAAATAATATAGGTCATGGAAATATTTATTTTTTTATTTTTTTATTTTTTTATTTTTATTATTTTTTTTTTATCATTATTTTTTTTTTCTTGCTGTCTGTCTGTCTGTATCACTCTAGGGGATATAGTGTGTAGTAGAATTCTTCCATTCAGGATGTAGCCATGCCGCACTATGCTGGTAGCAGGCTAGCCGATAAAGAAAACAGGTTTATCTCGGTGAAAATTGGGTATTGATTTTGTTCTGGGGGGGGGGGGGGTCGGGAGCATGAGTGGGGGGGAACCGTTCACCAACTCTCTGTGGGTCACGTTAGGGGTCAGGTTGGTAGCAGAGTTAGCACTCTCTTGCTGCAGTTCTTTTCCCTTTTCATCTTTCCTGCTTCCCACCATCCATGTCCTTTTTCTTCCTTTTATTCTATTTCATTTGTTGTTTTGCCAGCTTTTTCTTTTCCTTTTTTTTTTTTTCATAATTTTGTTATAGTAGTTATTATTTATTTATTTTTGTAGTTCCCAATTATTTTGTAAAACATGTCCTATGCTACCCCATCTTATTTCTCATCCTTATGAAATTAAATATTGTTGGCAGGCAGTCCTAATTTTTCTTATTAATAGAAGCCTCTAATATGACAAAGTAATTTGTTTTCTCACCCTTCCCTCCATCCCTGTCAAAAAAAAAAAATAATAATAATAAATTTAAAAAAAAATAAATAAAGAAAGAAAATAAATACTCATTCATATTTTTGTCTTTCAGATACTCAAAGCAGGCCTTCCTTGCTGATGTCCAGCAGCCATATGACCTGCCCGATGGAACCCCCTCCTTCAAGGACTACATGGGCAACAAAAACAACAGGTTCATTAACCCGGAAATGGCATCCAAGAACAGGATACAGCCTCCATCCAAGGTGGGTGTCTTTTGAGTTTGAATCCCATGTTATCCTTTTATGTAACCTGTTTTAATTACTAAAATTGTTTGGTAAAAGCTATGTGAGAGATGGCAGTTCAGTATGTAAATAAGTTCGTTAACCCAGTGCCGCTGGGGAAAATTAATAAAAAATGGGGAAAATGCTGTGCTCATTTTCTATATTTTTGTGAAATATGTCTGCACATAGATGGCACTGCTAGTGCTTAGCCACAAAGGAGTCAATTAGTAGACCTTGTGACCTTACCTGATTTGAATTGGCAGGAAAAACATTTTTTACCAGTGCTATGAATATCGATGGTATTATTTTTATTATTATTATAATAATTACTATGTTATAAACATTAGTAACAGTAAAATAAGATCACAAAATATTTTTGTAAATCAAAGAAAAGGGTAAACGGGGGAGACAGGCAGTACTCGTAATTGGCTCATTGGTGGCTTAGTACAGGTGTAGCCATCTGTGTGTAAAAACAATCAAACAAGTAACTCAATGGGCATAGCACGTGCATACACATCATGCCCGTCAGCATTGGGTTAAATTCATATTACATTTGATTACCTCTATATTTCAGCTGATGTTAGAGGACATGATAGCATTGTCATAATTCTTGTTTAGCCTACTAAGTAATTTTCTTTGTTTTATTATGATAAGTAACAAATTTTAAAAGATAGAAAACAAATAAAACCATAAAGTCGTCATACATAGTTCTCATTTGCACATACCAGGATTACAATGTGTTTGGTCCTACTTGATCCAAGTGCAATTAGTCATTTAGTCTAAAAACAGAAAGAAGCAGTAGTATTTTGTTTTTCTTTTCTATATCTTAATTAGTAAGGGAAGATTTCACGAGATTCCCAAAGATATTTCGGATGATAATTCAGAAGCCTCCAAGTTCACTCAGCCTCACTGGTCTGTGAAATGAATTGTGGCATAATGTCATTTTTGTGGTTATTTACATATGGAATGTGAATATTGAAATGATGTCATTCCTTCAGAATTATTTAAATCTATCCATGTTAATATTGGGTCATTTGCAAATTAGTTCTAATTACATTAACACCTTGACACCGGGGAAAATGAATAAAGAATGGAGAAAATGCTGTGCTCATTTTTTATATTTTTTTGTGAAATGTCTACACATAGATGGCTCTGCCTTACTGATTTCACCTTTCCTTGAATTGGCGGGAAAGTGTATTTTTTACTAGGGCCATGAATATTGGTGTTATTTTTATTATAAACATTATAACTACTAAAATGTTATAAACATTATAACTACTAAAATGTTATAAACATTATAACTACTAAAATGTTATAAACATTATAACTACTAAAATGTTATAAACATTATAACTACTAAAATGTTATAAACATTATAACTACTAAAATGTTATAAACATTATAACTACTAAAATGTTATAAACATTATAACTACTAAAATGTTATAAACATTATAACTACTAAAATGTTATAAACATTATAACTACTAAAATGTTATAAACATTATAACTACTAAAATGTTATAAACATTATAACTACTAAAATGTTATAAACATTATAACTACTAAAATGTTATAAACATTATAACTACTAAAATGTTATAAACATTATAACTACTAAAATGTTATAAACATTATAACTACTAAAATGTTATAAACATTATAACTACTAAAATGTTATAAACATTAGTAACCGCAAAATAATATAACGTAAAATATTTTCATAAATCAAAGAAAAGGGTAAATGGGCGAGACAGGAAGTACTCGTAACTGGCTCATTGGGGGCATAGTACAAGTGTAGCCATGTATGTGTAAAAACAATCAAATAAGTAAACTCGCAGTGGGCATGGCATACCATACCCATCAGCAATGGGTTAAGATGAAAATATGCAAAATTCAAGAACTTTAACTTCTCAATTGGGATGAGATTGAATTGAGTTTGACTTTAACCCTTCCTATTTTTCAGATCCTGCACTTCTTCAACACTCCTCCTGGCCTGGATGAGGACCAGCTTAAACAGGTGTTCATTGATGGGGGTGTCACAGAGCCTAAGAGCATCAAGCTGTTCCCATCAAAGAGTAAGTGTGAGTGAATCATTGGGAAAGACGCAGGATCTTTTGAAACCAACTTTGTTTTATTTTGAGAGATACAGTGTGGCCGCCTTTGGTTTTGTATTTTTTTCCTTTTTATGTAAGAGTAAGCCTTTGTAGCATGGCTCTGTTTAGGTCCAATTGTTGCTTTGGTTGTTACTGGCAGGGGTAAGCTGTGATTAGCTTTATAACATATTGTGTACATTTAATGCAATACCAGTATTAAGCTAAATTTTATGTAGATTTGATACAAAACCAAAGGATGTCTCTGTTGCTGAAATAATTGAAATAATGAATCTGCATATCCTTATTATAATAATAATTATTTTTATTTTTTACTTGTTCAAGTAGTTGTGATGCATTTATTATCATCTATTTCTTTTCTTTTTCTTTTCTTTTCTTTTTTGGTACAAGCATCTCTTGTGCAGATAATTTCTTGATCTTCACACTTCTGATAAAACTGGCTCATTCAAAATAGTCAAGTTGTTGACCCAAGGAAATGAGACAAGAAAACTCTTTTGATGTTGTAAGTCCGTTTGATTGCAAATACATGTGGTACCTTTTTTAACCCCAAAAACTTGGTGTTGTCACATATGGTCAGGTTAAGCATTCATAGTTGCTTAATGTGCTAATGAGATGTTTTTGCTTTTCAAATCACTTGCTTTTGTTGTGGTGAGCTTCAAGAAATCTCTAGTTTGTGTATTCATTCAAAAAATCTCTAGTTTACGGACTGCAGTTTTGCTGCTGTTATAAGAGATTTTTTAAACTAATTTTGTTGTTAAAAAAAATGATGATTTTTTATTTGTCTTGGGTTAATCAGTTAAGAATGTGTAGTTTTTTTATGGAAAGAAAGATGATATTTTGAACGCAATAGATACTTAGCTTAAATGAGAACTGAAAACCTGATGCTCATAGATAGTCACTGTATTTGAAAATCACACCAACTTAAGTTTATTTCTGAATAATTTGATTTTGAAGTTTATACCATTAATTTGAAACTAATGATTTTACTTCTCTCTAAATGTGTGCAAGTGATCTGTTTTATGAACGAGCCAGATTTGAAGGTGAAGGTTTATATCTCTCTGCTTTATATTCTCTTCAAAAGATGCTCCTCGACTCGGACTCCTGAGCTCTTTTCTTGCCTTGCGCTTTCCTGGATCCTCCTTGGCTCTCGGGTTCGTTCTTTTGTGGACTAGACCTCCTCCTCTTTTGAAAGGAGGACTCCCCGGAGAAAGTGGAGTTCTCAAGCTATAATAGTATTTCACTCGAACTTCAAGGTTCCTCCAACACAGTAGTTGGTCTAATGTTTGTTTGTTTTTTCTTTTTCCCCCCAACAGCTGAGAGGAGCTCCAGCGGGCTCTTGGAGTTCAACAACATCTCTGAGGCTCTGGAAGGATTGGTGATTGGGAACCATGCACCCATCCCCAACCCTAGTAAGTGTCGTTATATGTAGAATTGGGGGGAGTTTTGACTAGATTTTACTTTTTGCTATTGTTGTGGGTGTCATGGTGTCATATTGAAAGTATTGGAGAGTTATCCTGTTCTTATTTTCCATATGTGATCTGTATTATAAGATGATAGGAATAGAAAATTGTCATTCTAAAATGAAGATGTTTGAGATTGACATAGCAGTAAGCTGATAGATTTAAATGAATTTGCATTTGTAAATGAAAGCTGGTGAACTCTCATAGGATTCTTAATCTCAGTAGAGTTAAAAAGAATTTGTCTGAGCTAATTCCTTTTCCTTTGCCCCAACAGACAGCAAGTTCCCCTTCATCATGAAGCTGTGTTTCTCATCCTCAAGACATATCCCCAACAAGATGGCCGAGTGAAGAGCTCGCAGTACGACGGCAGCAGCAGCAGCGGTGGTGACCTGTCGTACCCGGGCCATTTCAGTTGCTTCATTGCTGCTTTAGTGACCTGCAGGGTACACCAGGGTTGTTGGCAGCCAGGCAGGGAAGATCGGGGACTTGTTAACATCTTGTTCCGTTGATAACATTCTTGAAGAGTGTTAGCTGGAGGACCTGGATGTTCACGGTCTCCATGGGGTTGTTAGCAGCTCAGTGAGATTGTTGGCAACTTTTGGGGAGGAAATATTGGCCAATTTTTTGGGGTTGCTGTATTATTGTGACTGTGGGGAATTAATGAACAGCAGCTGGCTGATGATGATGATGATGATGAGAGAAAGAGAAAGAGAGAGAGAGAAAGACTGCTGGCTGTGTAGTTTTTTGAGATGGTTGTTAGGGACATTTCGCAGCACTTCTCCCCCCCCTCCCCCCTCCCCCGCCAGCACCCATGGTGAGGAGGGGGGGTCGGTGTTTCTCTTCTTCCCGCTGGACTCCCTCAGGGACTCTTCACTGGCAATGCCCCACTGGAGGCTCACTGCAGATCAAATTCAGGAAGCTTCAGTTTTTTTATTTTTTTATTTTTTTTATTTATTATTATTATTTTTTTTTCTTCTTTATTTGTACTCGGTAAATATTATTATTTGTAAAGAAGCTTTGATGTAATAAGTATCATCATCATCCCCCCCCCCCCCTGCCCCCATAAAAAACAAACAAAAACAAAACAAAAAAAAAGAACAACCCTCAGTCTTTTCTATGGTGACTGTCAAGTGTTTTATGCTTTGTAGTTTGTGTAAATGATAAAGGAAAAGTCTTGTAAAATTTAGTAAGAATTTAGTTAACAGTATAACCCAGATTTTACTAGAAATGATGACAAGTTACTTGTATTCTTGTGTTACCTTGCATATTGTCATAGGAAATATGCTGTTCTTGACCTTATTTTTTAGAGAAATAAAAATGTAAGTGGTAATTTTATGTCTAATGTTTTCCTGAGGAGCCCAGCAGTTGTGGTAGGATAAGTGCAGTATAAACCCTCCTTGAGTTGGAAGCTTGGGCAGTACCCCACTGTCCGTCCTACGCTCTCTCTATATCACTATTATCATTATTCTGTATCACGTGAGGAGGAGAAACCGGGTAAACTTTCATTTGATCATTTAAACAAAGAGGAAAAAGAAGAAAAATTTAAAGACAGGTATATATCTTCCTTTTCAGCTTTATGCCCCTTGTATTTATTTATTTTTATAGGGCTTGTCATTACTGATTACCAAAGTGTTCATGAATTCTTGGACAAAGGAAGGGAAGAAGTAAGTACTTTTTTCCCCAAGTGAATCAATTGTGGTAAATTAGAGCCTTTTTTAATTTTTCATTATAGAAGAGGCTTGTGCAAAAAAATGGTTTCAAAAGTAATTATGTCAAAAAAAGAAAAAAGAAGAAAAAAGTTTTCCCGGTTGCCTTCCATGCTCATGCAGTGAAATGTACAATACTGTTCAAGAATAGTGTGTTATGTTTCTAAAATTATTCCATGATTAGGCACAATTATTATTATTCTCTTTTTGGAACTGTTTACTCTATATGATACTTATATATCAGTTCACTTGTACTCTTTATGATGGATTCAGATCCTTTTCATTGGTATGTTAAGAATAGGTCACCAGTTCTTATAACACGGATCTTACCTGATATTATGAACGTGTGTGTTGATATCATGATGTAGCGTACTAGAGGTATCTGGTCTTTGTTGCAATAATAGTCATAGAATTGGCCATTGTAAGCCTTTGCACGTGCTGGACAGTGCGGCCCGATGTGGCGTATCCCCTGCCCAGCGCGCTTAGGAGCCCTGCGGCCAAGGATACCTGTGAGGTTCATAATGGCCGATCGTATGACAAATAGTCTTACACTGAAGATGACCCGATGTAAGTTAGTAGGAGGCAATGTTAGTGGCAACAAGGATACATTGTTGGTAAATGTAGCTGTAAATTGGTAAAGCTTGGACGCGAGGGCAGGCTGTGTAAACAAGCAATTATTGATATACTTACAGTCCTGGCTTGTTGCCCTGCCCCACTGTCAAAGCATAAGTGTTTTAGAATAGCATTTTAATGCTTTTTCATTTTCTTTTTTTCTTTTTTCTTCTTTTTTTTTTCCTTTTTTTTCTTTTTTTTTCCTTTTTTTACTTTTCATTTTACATTATTTTAAGTAGGTGGTAAAATGGTGTCGTTATAATTAGTTTTTGAGTGTAGAGCAAGCAAGCTCGTAGCCTATGATTGCAACAGGATATGACAAAAGCTCTGTCAGTCCAGTAATCATTTCTGGTTTGTGCCACACTATTTGTTTTGCCTCTAACAGTAATTCAATAAAGTTTTGAGTGACCAAATTAAAAAACATGCAGACAAGAAGTTCAAGCAAAGATTGAGATGTTCAGCGCGGTTTTTTGCCAACGGGTAAAGATTCATGTTTTGGCTCTAGCCAGCTCTGATATAAAGAAAAAACTTTTATTAGTGTAATAACTAGTCAGGAACACTTAAGGTACTTAATCTAGGGCTTTAATGATGGCAAATACTAGTTTTTTTTTTATTATTTGACATTCTTTCACTTGCAATCAGAAAACAAAAAACATTACACATGACTTTTCTTGAACTTCCCATCTACAGACATGGCTTTCACTCACACCCGCAGCCAGAGAAACAAGACTACAGTAAACCACAGAGCCAAACACCCAGGATTACAGCATGTTCAAACATAATTGTTATTGTTGGAAGGGGATAATCTATTTTTCCCAGGATTTCACTTGTGCCAGGCTTGAGTTTGCGAAAGATTCATTTTCAATTTGGTTTTAGTGTAGTACCTCAAGATGATTAGATACGGTACTTTTTTACAGTTTAACGTTTGTTTCTTGTTTTAACAAAAGCTGCATACTCAGTTTGAATATATAGTGACCAGTAAGTAGTCAAACAATATTTTCCAAATTTCTATGACACTTTCTATGACCTAATCTAATGTGTGTACATGTCCTTTCCCCTTGCGCAACTTGTCGTGTCTCATGGCTGATGTCATTCATAGCCGGTGTCAGACTCTGCCGTTGTCAGTCTTGGGTCCACCATCCAGCCATTTATCAGGGCATAATAACGCTATGTAACAGTAAGTTTGCTACATCGTGCAGGGTTCTCTCCTTGCATGATAACCTGCAACGTGTCTGCACCGTCATTCCTTGGTCATATATCCTTGAGTGCAGATACTTCATCGCCTCCCTTATGCTTTCAACCCAATTTTCCTGGTAAACTTTACAGCATTGAGCTTAACTGTGTATATACAGTATATATATATATATTGGCTGGAGAGAGACCAGCGTATTGTCATGACATTCAACCGTATTCTCCTTTGTGATATCTTCTTGAATAACGATGTGTTTACCAGAAAGATTTGGCCTGATATGACCAGCCGACACTGCTACATGGGAGAGGAACATGAGGTCATTAATAGAGCAATTCAGTCCATTAAGAGCAGATCACTAGTTCACATTTATAAAGAGCAAATCAAAAAAAAGAAAGAAAAGATTTATTATACATAAGATGCAGTATTTTTTTAACTGTTAGTGTTGCCATTCACTGTTGGATCGTAGATGTAGACAGGTGGACGGAGAAGCCTTAACCATAGGCTTCTTAAGCTCAGATTCGATGATTCAGCCAGGTTCTTTGACTTCGGGGTAGGGAAAGACCGACTTCAGTTAATTTCTCCCTTGAAGAGTTTTCCAAAGACAACAAATTTTGACTAAAAATGACCCCTATTACAATGGGAAAAACTAACAACCAAGCTTTATGTAGAGCTGTTTGATGTGGATTAGGAACAGTCAACAGTACAAGCACACCACATGAAAATACTAAACAGATAAACAAAAGAAACTTGTGGGCAGTCATACTACATGCAATTCTGGAAAACAGGTTATGGATGACATGTTAGTGTGTACACTCACCTCACATACAGGAATGGAACCTAACGAGCTTTTTATTAATTTTTCTTTTGTTCTTTGGTTTTGCTGGACTATAAGCCTCCTGAGGTATTTGTTAATTAATTCAAGTTCAAAGCCAACTTGGTACAAAGCACGATTGTACTGAGGTAAAGCAAGCCTGCCAAATATGTAGACTTTTTCGAGGGGTGCACCGCTACCCACCCATCACGGCCAGTGCGGCGACCCACGAGACTGCCGGCAGTCACTGGAGGACTTGGGCTGCGGGATGGAAACGCCCGAGTTGCCGCTGCTTGTAATACTTGGTAATTATAGTAATTTGTACATATTTGCATGACTGATGAGGCTTGCTTTGGGGAAATCGAGCCCACTGGCGGTGGTGGTGATGATCTTTAGGTGACCTCAGGTGCGGTCGCGGCCACAGAGCAAAGGCAGTAGCGGCAGAGCTTTGGAGTGGGTATAGCACGCTACGAGGTTAAGAATTGGTTGTCTGGCTCCAGTAGCTGAAAATCTGGCGGTGAAGTAGCGAGTTCGGGCAGTGGTGTGCCCCTCTCTCCTCCGTGCCAAGCGTGGTTGTGTCTGAGGCCGCGTGAGTGAGGCGACGTAACTGCTACGTCACGTTCACCTTGGTGTAGGTGTCCCCGTGTGAGCGGCCAGGGAGGCGGTCCTTCCCCACCCTCGCCCACTGGCTCCTCGGCCGCAGGACTCCGCTCATAAAGCAATACCGACCTGAGCCTCAGGTCTGACGGCGCCCTCCCTGCTGCGCCCACCTGGACGACTAGGCTGTTTAAATGGTTTAATCTCTGATAAGTCGTTGAAATGTCGTTGCAAAATGTGCTTACGTAGAGAATGTTTATTACTCTTCTTGAAATCGTCCCAATAGAGTGAATCACTTGATGCATATCATAGCACTAAGGTTTACTGCGCCCCGTGCCAGTACCACAGGGACGGTGCCGAGCCGACGGCCATCCGGCACAGCCTGTCTCGCGAAGGCCGTGCAAACCTCGCTCGAGGGACAGCGACCCTTCTGCGTTCCTCGCACGCCCACTCGCCGGAAAGACCTGGGCGTCGCCGGCTGTCGACGTGTAGCTTTGGCTCCGCAGCAGCCTGGCTCGACGGGTGTGCGTGCGAGGAGAGGCGTGAAGGCGGCGGTCCGGCTGACGGGACGGGCTGTGCTCGGGTCCGGCCGGCCTCCAGACCCGGCGCTCGCCCGCGTGCGGCGCCGGCGCGAGGCGTGTCCAGTCCCGGCCAGCCCGCGCATGGCGGCGGCTGCGGCACTGACCCGACATCCCCCCCACCATCCCTGTTCCAGGATTGCGGAGTTATTTTAAAAGCATAACATGATATTTTAATTTCCTTTAATCCATATGTTGTTTGTAAGAATTTTAAGGAATAAAATGAATAATACTTTAGTATAAAAGAGAGAAAATTGACTTTGATTTTCATGTGGTGTCCTTCATTCACACAAATTCTGAAAAGCACAAGGAATTTAATCTCAAAACAAAATCAAGAGGGATGTGGAATTCGTAAAATGTTATGCAGAAGGCGTCTGATTTTTTTATTAGAAATCAGGATTATTACCCGTAGTAACAAGATTGACCAATGAAAATGACACGAATCGAATTGAGCCAAAACTTCATTCATGGAACAAAGGAAAGAATACCCGAAAACAAGAACAAAGCTTGATAAAGTTAATTGAAACTGAATTTTATATTAGATTAGAAAGTACAGCGGAAACCTACAAGCAGATACCCTGTCTGAGAAAATACCCAGAGTATGAAATGTTATTACAGGTCTTCGTATGTGTGTTTTGAGGATGTATTCCGGGTATGTATACACGAGACTTGTTATCTTTTTAATGTGTTTGATAGCGAGAAAATTGTGCATGATAGGGAGTGATGGAAGAGTGACTGAAATTTGAATAGGAATGGTGCAAGAAAGTGACTGAGGCACCCACAGACATACAAGACAAACACACACTCGCACGTGCATATTGGCATAGTCAAACATATACTGGCATGCAAACAGAAGTATACACACGTACCCAGAGATACAGACATAAACAACAGCCATACAAGTGAACAAGTATACAGACATACACAGGCACCTACACCCAACCAGGCATGCGCGCACGTACAGCCACAGACACTAACGCCGAGAATGAGCAAGCAAAATAATTCAGTACTAATGTTGGCAGTTGAAATGTGATTTAGACAGACAAGTGATGTAAAAGCATCCTGATTTCTCGAAAACTTTGTTGGCAAAAAATATAGATTCAGGTCATGGCAAGACTGTATACGAGAAAAGTTTACGTAAAGCCGCAGATGGAATGTTAAATGCATAGACGAAAATTGGAAATGCATGAGGAATACATTTTTAAAAATGTATAATGAACATGTGTATATAGAACAAAACTGAATTAAAATTGCTATCTACATATAATTACTTAAATCTGAAATATTACTAGAACGAAAGAACTTTCTGCTTGTAAACATGGATCGACTTGCCCTGATTAAACTTCGAATAAAAATCAGAAAATAAATACAGGATACAGAAAGAATACAAACCAAAATTACAAGTTCAAGGATTGTTAGGCAAATGTGAGTTCATTTTATATAGAAATAATTCGGACTAATCGCCCCCCCCCCTCAAAAGAAGAAAAATATATAAAATGATAAAATATAAAATCACAAATACTATTGGTGTGTTATGAAACCAAGACAATTGTGACAAATAATATACAACAACGAGGATGCTTGTAGTTAATTGTCACACTACAAGCAAGCTCTTGAGCGGCAATAGACAATGCTTTTTTATATATGATACAGTCAACATATAATATAATACCATAACATATAAAATGTAATGCTTACAGTATGAAATGACCCCTAAAAGTATTGCATGTTTGCATGCATTGTAGTGTGTTGCTCCACACACCGCCGCTTTGTTACTTATTTATGATCAATTTGTTCCAAACAGAAATAAGTGTGATACACCGGCAGAAAATAAATACAATTTTTTTTTATAATAAACTTGCAATTTGGACAAAAAAGCAATGAATAAGCAAATGAAAAATTGAGGACTGATATAGGTGATAAAACAATTATTCAAATAATAAACCAGCAATTCAAGATATGAGACGTCGTCCTCGTGCCGCAGACGGTCAACAGAGGTGATCTATTGAATGATTTTGTTTATAAGTCGTAATTAACTATTAAATGTTTGGTTTGTTTCATAAACGCTTTATTAGAATTATGACAATAATATGTGACATGTACAAGGCGAAGAAATGCATATTTTACATGAAACGAGAGATGAATGTACACATTTTTGTAAAACTTAAGATAGCCACGAAGTCCAATATTAGAGTGTAGAGAGTTTATGGAATTGGTAAGTCAATGAACTCTAACAGTTTTTTTTCGGAATGAAAATAAAATCTTAGAGCATATGGCATATGAATACATATACATAAGTATCGAGCAGCCTCCGCCTCTGTCGGCACTTTGGCAAAGGACAACAACGACTATTTCATAATTTGACTATGTTGATAATATATATGTGTATATATATATAGATCCCCCCCCCCCCCCCTTTTTTTTTTTTCTTTCTACTCATCTCGCATTCATGAAATGTCGTTGATGTAGCCGTATTCAAAAGTCGCGCTATTGCTCTTTTTTCTTCATCTGTTACGCGGTTGGCCGAAAGATCCAACTTCACAGGCGCATTCTCGTCAAAAAGATATTTCAAAATTTCTTGGAAAAACTATGAAACTATGAACTGTTCATTCCCGTTTTTGACGGAACTTTCTTGGTCGGATATTTTGGTTTAATTTCGTAATCACACGAAGCTTTTTCAGACTACGCCACATTTATGAACACTAAGGCAACGTGACCGGCAGAAATGACTGATTTCGATGAAATTCCATTGTTAAATTACTTATTTTGTCGCCAATATAAGGCATAACCTTCCAAGCTGTGGTCATATCTGTGCCGACCAGAAGCATTAACAAGAGCATATTAATAGCTTTATTATTCTCTAGAAGATAAATACTAGTTACTTAAAATTTATAGTGTTATGAGCATCCTAGGGAGGTTCGAAGATATTTTTTATTTGCCTTTATTTTCATTCCAAACTCGTAGTTTGATAAACACATCTCTGCTCTTAGTAACAGATATCCTTCTAAAATGTTGCCTTAACCCATTGCCGCCGGGGAAAATGAACAAAAAATGGGGGAAATGCTGTGCCTATTTTTTATATATTTTTGTTAAATGTCTGCCCATAGATGGCTCTGTTAGCGCCTGATTTGAAATGGCGGGAAAAACGTATTTTTCACTAGTACCATGAATATCGATGGTGTTATTTTTATCATAAACATTATAATTTTTATAATGTTTTTTTAACATTAGTAACAGCAAAATAAGATAACGTAAAATATTCCGTAAATCAAAGAAAAGGGTGAACGGGCGAGACAGGCGGTATTCATAACTGGCTCATTGGTGATTTAGTACAAGTGTAGACATCTATGTGTGAAAACAATCTAACAAGTAATCTCACAGTGGCCATGGCATGGCATGCCCGGCGGGAATGGGTTAAAATGTGTGGCCGAATTTGTTCATCTAGTTATTCATACCCTTTTGTGCTACATAACAAGTAAATTCTATTTTGAATTACTATTTAATTCATCTTCATTTCATTCAGAGCGAAGGTGATGAAAGATTTCCATAACCCAATCGCCCCATATGACAATACATGCCATGCCCACTGTAATACAACTTTATTATATTTGCACATAGATGGCTCTACAAGTGCTTACTCACCAAGGAGTCAGTTATAAGTCCTACATGTCTCACCTGTTTACCCTTTTCCTCGACTTTTGGAAAGGGTCTTTTGCATTATTTGTCTTAAATGTTACCAACATTTTAATAAGAATTTAATAATCATAACCTCAATAACAATAATAACCGTATCGATATCAATTGTATTAAAAAGATAAACGCATTTTCCCGCCAGTTCAAGGAAAGGGGAAATCAGTATCGGTAATTAGGGTCTACTGAAAGACTCCTTGGTGGCTGAGCACATGTGGAGCCATCTGTATGTAACACAATTCACACACACACAAAAAAAAACAATAAAATAAAATAATAAAATAAATAAAATAAACATAAATAAATAAATAAATAAAAATACAGGGGGCAGAACATAAATCCGTGGCGGGTGGATTAATTCACTATAATTACCAACGGCGTCCAGTCTGTTTTCTGACAGTCACCCATTGCGAACGGGAACGTGTCATTGCATATTTAAATAATTTGTTTACACTGATGACAAGTTGACAAATGTTGCAAGACGAAGCAAACTGAACCAAACCATAACTTGCATGCGTTTTTCGTCAAATATGTGCCCCAAATATATGGCGCTTCCTTATAGGTGTAACTGCCTTACCAGAGTCCTCTTTGTCAACCATTGGAACTAGAGTGGGTAGGTCGACCTGTGATCGTGACTTACGAGGCGAATTACCATCTCTTAGTGAATCCCACTTTACCCACAGTCTATATATCACTGGATGATACTTTACGATCGAATGTTAGTGAATCCGGACACTGGATATTAATAAGGACCAGTAAATGCTTAAAATGTTCATATTATATAGTCATCAATAACATCAGATTTTAAAACTTCGGTTAAATAAAATATTCTTTATTTATATAAATGCCATTCAAATATAAAGCAAATATGCTTTTTTAGAGAAAAGAAAAGAAAAAAAAAACAATAAAAACAAGGAATGAAATACATTCAAATCTAAAAAATAACACTCCGCCTTACATTTAATAGTAAGCCATAAACCCCCCAAAATCACAAACAAATCATAGACGAAATGACAGATTACGTACACAATATCAGAACAGAGCCTAACCTTTCAATTCATCGGATTCCTTAGCACAAACGCATCAACGGGAAGAAATACTGATCAAGCAGAAAAAAACAACGCTTGAAATATGGATCCCGCAGCTGTAAAACAACACCTACACCTAAAAAATAAATAAAATCAGAAAATCTAGCGGAGACCAACTAATAAAAACATTAAAGTACAAAAATCTGCAACCACAATGAGGATACCTCGAATCTCTGGTCAAGATCTTAACACACACACACAAAAACAGATATACGTTTAACGCGAATTAAAACAAAATACACAGGATTAAAACATCTACATAAAACAAAAACGGAAACGAACTCATCATACAAATGGTGTCAACAGGAAGGATCAATTTAAAACACACAAAATTATTTTTCATTTATTAATATAATCCGAACACGTGTCCCTCAATAACATGAGCAAAACACTCAAACCAAGTACCGCATACTAAGACAAATAAGGATATTATAAATTTCAAAATTAATAGACATGGAAATCCCCAACAATAAAAT